GCTCTCTGGAAAGTTTGGAATGAAGCTTAGCAAGGCCGGGGGAAAACCCTCCTGCTAAACTTGTTTCAACCCCTTTAATTCTGGCCAGCAAACGACGCTTCTTGCGTTTAATATCTCCAAAGACTTCATCATTCCATTCCAGGAGCTTGTCCGCCAGCACTTTAAGAGCATTGTGGAGTGGAGCATTTGCATCCCAGTTATCTGCCACTGCTTGCGGAAGGCGATCACTAGTCAGCCAGGCCGCCTCAAACCTGAAGTGTCTCGGGATATGCTACTGCCTCGACTGCAACTCCACAGAGGTGATTATCGGGTTATGGTCTGATTGGTAGCGCGACAAATGAAGCACCGACGAATTAGGAAAGGTATACAATTAGATCCAATAATAGTATACATAGTATACAATTGATGTTTGCCCATCTTTTTAGTGATTTAAGGAGTTAATAATTAGATCCAATAATTTTTTCTTTCCTGATTTTGTCTGCTCCAATTTTTCCCAAATAATAGCAAATGTTTCATTGCAAGAGAAACTGAAAAGTAATGTACAAGAGAACAAAGATGTATACTAAACGTGGAACTCTAATGCAGTAGACTAAATTAATATGAGTTTTATGATAAATGTTTTGAATGAATTTTTTTTGGTAGGAAGTTGTGAAGGAAAATTGAATTCACCTTACTTAATTGGAATATCGAAATAGTCCCTGCGGCATAGTCACGGGTGTTGATTCTAGTATACATAATAAAAAAAAAAAGAGCTATCTGCCCAAAGGTTTGGGCAGGGGTCAAAGCTAGTGTTAAAAAAGGGGAAAGCCGAACAACCATAGCCATTGTCGTCACACTATCTTCATCTTTCGCAAGAAGCAAAACTGTTGCTTACACACTAAAATCAATCGATATCAACTTTTGCTTATAGAAATCTCTGCTCTATCATATGATATTTGATTTCAGTTACTACTTACTCAGAGAGGAAACCTCTCTTGATCAGCGGGTAAAGATGAAGCCAGACCCTTACCTGACACGAGAAAACCAAAGCACAGAACAGATCAATTTCCACTTTCTCCATCTGTGTTTCGTCTCTTTCTGCAATAGTGTGAAGGAGTCACCTCCTCCCATTTCTTTTTTCTTGTCTTTTGCTCGCGTCACTCTCAAAACCAACTGCCGAAGTTAGCTTAAACTGGATAAACCTTGTTCCTTGTGTTGTCGTTGTTCATAACATTCCACGCACCATTTATATCTATCCGAAGAGGAAGAAAGCATAGGGAGCGGCAGCAGCTGCTAGTGAACAGAGTCAATGAAGACCACTCTCTCCTTGTTCTGCTGCTCACTGTCTCTCCTCTTCTGCTTCTATCTACCAAGGTACGAGTTTCTTGGTAAAGTTACGAGCCTTAGCTCTATAACCCACCAATTTTACTGCTAGATGCTTCCTTTTTTGGGCCATTGATGAAGAACCCACAAGGATTTGACTTCAAAGTTCTGAACTTTTTCCGGGTTCTGGGTTCTGGGAAGTTGAAGAAAAAGTTTGTTCCTTTCACATTCGGCTCTGCCTAGCAAGTTTCAGATTCTTCTACCTTTTGGGAAACCTTGATTTCGAAAATATGCAGGGGTTCCTTATCTGCTGGTGTTGACCGATGTAAGTTGCCACCAAGAGGTTGGAACTCGTATGATTCCTTCTGTTGGACGATTTCTGAGGATGACTTCTTGAAGAGTGCTAAAGTTGTTGCGAAGTATCTAAAATCTCATGGATATGAGGTATATAATAGGGGTTTAAGTTACAACCAATAAAACTGTCTAATTCGAGGGCCATTACTGAAAAACTCAGTTCAATTTTGTGCTTATTTCAGTATGTAGTGTTGGATTACCTTTGGTACAGAAGATTAGTTCCAGGCGCCTACACTGATTCTCTTGGGTTCGATGTGATCGACCAATGGGGGAGAATGGTTCCTGCCCCAGATCGATGGCATTCTGCCAAGTCGGGGAATGGGTTCGCTGAAGTTGCCAAGGAAGTCCATAGTTTGGGTCTCAAGTTTGGAATCCATGTCATGAGGGGATTGAGTCGACAAGCATTTGATGCTAACACACCTATATTGGACATTAACACGGTACTCGATTAGCTTCCCTTTTCCACTTCTATTGCGTTCATAGGTTTTTTTATGACCGGGCCTTCTGTTTTGAATAGGGGCGTGCTTACGAAGAATCCGGTCGAGAATGGAGGGCTCAAGACATAGGGATCAAGGAGAGGAGTTGTGCATGGATGCCACATGGTTTCATGAGTGTCAACACTTCATTGCCTGCTGGAAGAGCCTTCTTGAGCTCACTCTATCACCAGTATGCCGAGTGGGGTGTTGATTTCAGTAAGTCTTTGAAAGTTCAACTTTCCTCATTCAGATCATACCCAACTGGGGAATCTTTCAGGTCTGAAAATCTTATAATTATCTCTTCTTTTGTAGTTAAGCATGATTGCGTATTTGGTGATGACTTCAACCTAGAAGAGATAACATATGTGTCTGGATTGCTGAAGAAGTTCGATCGCCCAATCTTATACTCGCTCTCCCCTGGAACTTCCGTAACGCCAACAATGGCTAAAGAGCTGAAAGGATTGGCAAACATGTACAGAGTAACCGGAGATGACTGGGATTCGTGGGGAGATGTGGCTTCACATTTTGATGTTGCAAGGTGTGTTAAAAAGACTTGATACAGATTGTCTTTGGATATTCTTATTGCTTACTCGACAATCTTGCTTTAATGCTTCAGGGACTTTGCTAAGGCAGAAATGGTCCCTGGTGAGGGCTTGCTCGGAAGTTCATGGCCTGATCTGGATATGCTGCCATTAGGGTGGCTTACTGATGCTGGTAAGATTTGTTGTTAGATCTTGTTTCAGAAAGTTTTGACTTAATATACATAGACGTTGGTTCCTTTATATGAGTTTTTTTAATTCCAGGAGCCAATCAAGGGCCTCATAGGCAATGTAACCTTACCCTTGATGAGCAAAGAACCCAGGTAGGCAAGTATGCAAATGGTGATGGACAACAAATTGACCATTTCTTCATTGCCAAGGAAAACAATCTTACGAGCCTTATGCTTTGTTTTCTTCAAGATGACTTTGTGGTCGATGGCAAGGTCTCCGCTCATGTTTGGAGGAGACGTTAGACAGATTGATGAGACGACTTACAAATTGATCACTAATCCTACCTTGCTGGAGATAAACGATTATAGTTCGAACAACATGGAGGCATGTGAAGCTTTTTGCTTGCTCTCTTTAACAACCTTGAATGTCTTTAAGAAACCTTACTAGTTTGTGTTTTTATTGATAACAAGTCATGCTTGCATATGCAGTTCCCTTATGTTACAGGGAAGATACTGGGTCCAGAAAGGAACCATCTCATGAGGCGATCAAAGATATCTATGTTGAAACGAGTCAACAATCATCATACCCGGGTTGTAGGTGTTACAAGTTGCAAAGATCCCAATGCAAATGGTTGGTCGGTTGAATCTCTTGGTCAGTATCATGAACAGATTTGTTGGAGGAAGGAGGACGAGCAGCTAAACCGGGAACCATTATGTCTATACAAGAGGAAACCTCTCTTGGCTTCATCGTAAGTAGTCCATTTGGCATATTCATCTTAATTAGCCATTGCCATTATGTTTCTCTCCAGATGGTTAGAGCTAAAATTTGTCAAATTTGCAGCAATGAGCATGTGCTTTATGGCCAAGATAACCGCCGATTGTTCACAAGTGACGATGGAGTGAAATCTTGCTTGGATGCTTCTCCAAGACATAAACTTACTTCCAGCGAGTGGAAGAAAAAGCAGCCCTCATTCTCGACCTGCAGAGGGGATGCCAATCAGGTATATATATATCACCATTTTTCTTCTTCTCCTCGTATTGATCGTGAAAGGAAATTCGCTGCTTATTGCTGCAATGGATTTAAGAGCTGAACAAGTTTTGTCAACAGATGTGGAAGTTGAGCAGCAATGCCACTCTCAGGAGCAGTTACTCTGGCCTATGCGCCAGGGTAAAACAAGTTAAAGGTAATGGTCAATTGCATAACAACTCAACCTGTGCTAACAGATTGGTCACTACAAACTTATCACTGAACTTCAAAATAAATAGCATACTACTAATTTCATCAAGATTTTCATCCAAATTGTGGAGATTCAATCAGTATGTTGCATAGCCAGATAGAATAAATGATTAGAGTGGTTACAGGTAACGTTGGATGAAATTTGGCAGAGTTGGATCAAGTGTGAGTTGTTGTCCATGTCAGCTAATTAGCGTTCATGCATACAAATCTATTGTTAATTTGGTTGATTTTGCATTAAATAGCCAGTATGAAGTGCATGTTATGTTAGGATTTTCAGTGACTGGTCTTAAGTCGCAAACTTGTTACTGTTACTGATGTTCTGTTGATACAGCTAATGATGTCAGGACCAGTGGGGTACGATCCTGGATTGCAACAGGAAGACAAGGAGAAATCTATGTTGCTTTCTTCAACCTCAATGTTGAGAAAACATTGATCTCGGCCAAGTTGTCAGACATGGCCAAGGTGCTTCCAGGGAGAAACCTGGAAGACAAAGCAGATTGTAAAGGCAGAGAAGTCTGGAGCGGCCAGCGTTATGAAGCTGTGGCGGATTCGTTGGAGATGGTAGTGGATAAGCACGGTTGTGCACTCTTTACCTTAAACTGCAGCTAGCTTAGGTTAGTGGAAAATTATGTTGATGCTGCAGGAAATCTTTTTTTTTTTTTACTAGCAGGTTAAGGTAATAGGGAGAAAGAGAAAATAAAGGTTGAAGCTTTCTTTCTGTGTGACGCTTAAGAATCCAGAAAAGCAGGGGAGTTTTATGACTAGTGCTCTGTTTCCTCTGTTTTCTTTTTCTAGAAAACTTGCTGATGTAAGTCCAGGCCACAGGCCACCTTTCTCATATTGAAAAGTGAACAAGACTAACTTCAACAATTAAAACTAAAGAGTTGCACTAGTGATGATAACACATATAATAATTGATCGATCACATCTCTCCTCTATACCCTCCAGAACCAAAGTAATCCCTACTTCTTAAGCTAGCTAGCTGCTGGCTTCTTTGTTGCTCCAGCTTCGGACAGGAGCTGATTCGATGGCCAAGACCACCACAGTAAGCGCAACCATCAGCGTTGGCAGCGGTACCAACCACACCAAGCTCCACTGGGTCACTCAATTCTGCAAGAACAGGTGGAATCCTCTGTCTTGCTTCTTGCAACAGGTGCTTCAGATCAAGGAGCGTCGTCTCGCTCTGCTGCGAGTTTATAAACGTGGTAGCAAGCCCAGTCTTACCACATCTCCCAGTTCGTCCAATCCTATGGACATAGTTCTCTATCTCTGCCGGCATGTCGTAGTTGATCACATGCTGAATGTTGGGGAAATCCAAACCCTTGGAGGCACCATCAGTAGCAACCAAGACGTCTTTCTTTCCCGCTTTAAACAACGCAACCGCACGGTCCCTATCCGTCTGCTCCATCTCCTTCCCATAAAAAGAGACGGCATCGACTCCCTTCACAAGGAGATACTCATGGACTTTACACACGGCAGCATTGTTTTCACAGAATACCACGACCGGGGGTGGAGTCTTCTGCAAGCACTCGAGAAGGTACACAATCTTGGCTTCCTGCTTCACATACTCAACTTCCTGAATCACGTCCAGATTTGCTGCACCAGCTCTCCCCACGCTCACCGTCACCGGCTTCACCAGCGCTCTTCGAGCAAACTCGTGCACTTTGGTGGGCATGGTGGCGGAGAATAGAAGGGTCTGCCTTTGCCCTTTCAAGTGGTCGAATATGTCCCTGGTGACATCCTCAAAATCCCCATCCACCAGCTTGTCTGCTTCATCCAATGTCAAGAACCTGCAAATGTCCAGCCTCATCTTCTTCTTCGCCAGCATATCTTTCAACCTCCCAGGAGTCGCAACAACAATGTGCACACCTTTGTTCTTCACAACCGATGCCAACTCCAATCGGTTATCGATTCCTCCTATACCGAGCAAACACCTTAGTTCAGGATAGCCAACATTCTCCGCCATCGGTGCCAAAAACTGCTGGACCACATCGTACGTCTGCCTAGCGAGTTCCCTCGTCGGGCAGACTATCAACCCCAACGGCCCTTCCCCAGGCCCAACAGGCATCATCCATTCCTCCTGTAAAGCAATCATGATCAACGGGAGGACGAAAACGAGCGTCTTCCCGGAACCCGTCGAGCTAATCCCAATCATATCCCTTCCGGACAAGACAACAGGAAGCCCCTGCAGCTGAATCGGAGTGGGCCGAGAAATCCCCTTGACCTTCAGCACCTCGAGAATTGGATCGGGGAACTTCATGTCTCTGAAGTTACTTACCGGTGGAGGGATCTCTTCTCCATCTACTACAATGTGCCATTGTTTCCGAATGGCATCGCGATCCTCGCTGGGCATTCTCCGGTAACGAAGCGGGGGTTTCCATCCGGTCGGCAGCGGCTCGGTATAGGCGATTCCCTTGGCCAGTTCGCTGACGGACATTAGGGGTTTTCTGCCTGATGATAACAAGTCTTGTATGATCTCGATTTCTTGTTGAACGAGCTGCTCTGCCCGAGTGATTGCGGGTTGCTTGCGCTTGAGCTGCGTTGCTTGAACAAGAAGACTTGGTGGTGGTTTTGATTCAGCAGCCGGTGGTTTATTGGCAGACGAAGACGGCGGCGAGTCGTCGTCGTCGTCGAGGGTTTCATCTCCCAAAGCACAACTACTACCAGTATCCCTAATCGGCTTTCCCTTCCGCTGATGTCGAAGAAGGGTTTTTTTCGCCTCCAGAGCTCGGCGCTTTGCGACGGGGACATACTCCACATACTCATCCTCCTCCAATTCCATCATTATGGTGTCGATTTCCCTTCTGCACAGAATCAAAAGCGGCGACGAAGAAGTCCCGATTGAAGAAGCGAAAATCTACGGCGGAGCAGAGAAAACAAAGAAGCGCAGGAATGGCATCAAATCAAAATCGGAACATATATATAGCCTAGGGAGTGCATGTGCATCACTCTGTCAGTTTTTGGGCCGGTTAGTAAAGATTGGCTCCCCTAGCCCATTTTCCAACTCCGAAACGGTTAATACTTATATACGGCCAGGTGGAACAAACGTTTGTATTATTGTTTCGGGTCAGATCCTGTGCTTAAGGCTAAAAGCTTAAGCATATGCTTAAAGCTTTTCTATTGGCTAATAATAGGATTTTAGTTAGTTTATGGAAGGTTAGTAGTTAGTTTGTTATTAAGGGTAAATGAGGAATTAAGGAAAAAATTAATAGTTATGGAAAATTATTAATATATTCATATTTAATAGGAAAGTAGCCTTAAAATTTAAAACCCTAAACCATTCCAAGCTTCTCTCTCTTCGTGAAATCCTGGAGGGGAAGGCGCCGGCAAGAGAGACGGATACGGCCGCAAAACCATCCCGCCGCCAGCCCGTCAGCGACCGAGCAAACGCCGACCAGTCCCTCGCTCCGCCAGCCCGTCAACGACCGAGCCAGCGACCGTGACAACTTCCCGGCACCGATGTGATTATCGCCTGCCGATGTGTGTCCTATGACACCATCTGGTCATCATTTGTCCACCGATAATAATGAACTGGAATTGCAATGGATTATGGGCGGGGTTTTTGGGCATGATTACTTCCTCCGACGCCGTCGTTATTTGTCAACGTTAAAACAAAGTTTACGATCTACGATTTTTATTAAAAAATAATGAGAAATCGTTAATAATGATATCATAGATCGTCAATATTTTTCATAAAAAATTATGTGAAATCATTAATAATGATGATTTATAAAGTTAATAATACCAAGTATTAATATTGATAATGATATGTTAAATCGATGAAATTTGATAAAAAAAAGTTGATAATACCGTAAAGTAATGTTAATAGTCATTTGTTCAAGAGAATGATTATAAGAACGAATATGATTTTGTATATTGTTAATAATATAATGATTAATATATTCTAAACACTGACAAAGTCATCATGAACAATTGATAATTACCATCAAATAGTTAATAATGTTGATTTATAACATTGACAATCCTTTGATAATCGTTGATAATAGTAAGAAAATCTAATAATATACAATCTGAATACTTTAATAAAACCTGACGTGGAAATATGAAAATTTCAAATATTGGTATCTACCATCAGATTAATAGTAGCAATGTTCAAATCATTAATAATGATTTGAGCTATTACTGACAATTACCTTCATATCAATAACAATAATTTTGCATATTATTGATAATATTGTGCATATAATTTAATAATATTATTATTAATTGATAATGAATTAAGCAACACTAAAATTGATCCGAAATCATTAATAAATAGGCTTGTATTATCGTGAATAAGTACATAATCGTTAATATTCTGAATAAGTCCTTTAGATCTGGATGCTTCCCCTTAGGCAGGTTTTGGGGCGAAACAATTGTATGTCACATATTTTTACTTGTGTCATGCCGTTAACCTACGCAAAGACAAAATCCCAACAAATATGTTATTGTTTCATAAGCAATATTCCAATATTGAACAAATTAGCTCATGTTATTTCATATCACAAACATTAAAAATTGACATTCAAATAAGACAGTTTAAACAATTAATAACTAAGTTGTATTGTGTTTGAAAATACAAGAAAATCATTGATAATGATTGCATAATAACCATATTACATGTCATTAATAACTCTCTTCCCAAAATGTTGATAACGGGATAGAATTTTTATAAACTAAGTCATGTTTCGTTTACAATGCAAGAATTATTGTAAATGATCGGATCTAATGATCGTCAACCATACTACATATTATTAATAATTCTTTCTAAGAATTTGATACGCTTATACCCACTCGTTAATAATTATACGAATTATGATACTGATTATTAGGAAAACGTTAATAATACCTATTTAAAATTTTAACAACGTTGTTGTAAATCGTTCAAAAGGAAAGCAGAAAATGTTAACAATGTTTGGCGCCTATAACAAATCGTTATCGACGTTAACAATCTTTATTGATAATTAACATGGAAATACAATGTAGTGATACTAGTGACAATACTCGTTTAAATGTTTGATAATGACTTAAAATAATGTTTATGAACAATAAATCAAATTTTAATAACTACCAGTAAGACGTTGAAAATGCTATGGGTTTCATTTAAAAATATTATACCAAAAAGTTAATAATAAGAGGAAAGACACGCGGGCACGACTGGAGAACATGGCGACGACCGGAGAAGAAGACTACGATGATTATGAACAGAGACGACTACCACCACCAAACAAGACGACTACGAACAAAGAAGACGACTACGACGAAGAGAAGAACACATACCAGTTACTCCCTCGATGTCTTGCTCGAACAGTAACAACAAAGTTGAGTTGGGGGAAAATGAAACCCTAAAGTCTTGGGTGTTTCTCATTCATCTTTGGGTTTAAATAGGCAAAAGCTTTGCACTACAAGACAACATGTGCAAGCTAGCATTTGGAGACTACAAAGATAAAACATGAATTCAAACTAGAGTCTAAACACACATTTGACATTAAACTAAACTTGATGATGATGATTTCCTCTAAACCTTGTCGATCCACTTTGACATTCATGGTCGCCGGTTTGAGTTTTGACGATAACTTGAAATATCTTATGATACCCCCCCCCCCCCCCGCAAGCGGGTGAGCACAGAATGTGCACACCAAGCTTGGAGAGAATACAGTCTGAACTTGAGAATGTTGTTGCACTGTTGGCTAGCTAACTTCTCTTCAATCTTCAAATGGTGAAGGTGCTGCATCTTGCTAGCTAACTTCCCAAACATATTCTGAAAAGCTGCTGCATCTGTGGCTAGCTAGCTATGAAAACTTCTTCTTCTTCAACTGGTGATACCACTGCATCTTTGGCTAGTTGGCATCCCATCTTGATCTTCTTCTTCTTCTCTTCACCTTCTCTTCTTCTTCTTCAACTTCTCAACCCCCAACTCAGCTTTGTAGCTTGAGTTTCTCCAATTGAACTTGGATAAGCGCTGCATTTGTAGCTAGCTAGCTTTCCGGTATTCTTCTTCAACTCCTCAACCCCCAACTCAGCTTTGTAGCTTGAGTTTCTCCAAATAAACTCGGATAAGCCGCTGCATCTTTGGCTAGCTAACTTTCCATTCTTCTTCTTCAACTACTCAACCCCCAACTTCAGCTTTTGTAGCTTCAGTTTCTCCAAACAAAGATGGGATATGCTGCTGCCTTTTCTTTTGCTAGCTAGCACTCCGATGATCTTCAAATGAAATTGCCGCTGCATCATGGCTAGCTGGCTGAACTTCACATCTTCAGCTTTTTGTTGCTTGAGATGGATCTTCAAAGTGGTCCGGATATGCTGCTGACTTTGCTAGCTAGCACTCCATCCGAATTTTTTTTTTTAAATCAGCAGGGGAGTGCTCTGTTGGCTACTTTCCTCTGCTTTGACTTGATGATGATATGCTGCTGCTGATTTTGAGCTAGCTAGCATTCCAAAGAGAATAATTTTGACTTCAAACTCAACAGGGGAGCCTTTTAGGCGTCTTCCCTCTGCTGCAAATGTGGCTGCTGCCACTCTCTTCCTCTTGCTGAAACAGAACCAAGGACTTTGGCTTGTGACTGCTGCTGAAATACTGCTTCTTCTCTTCTGATTGCTGTTGTTTTTTTTTTAATATGCTGCCCCTGAACTTGCACAATCTAGTTATGCTCCTAACAAGGGCACTTGTTAGGAGATGCTAACAGGGGAGGATCGGCCTCCACGTCGCCACGACTTCATCCATCGGTGGAGGAGAGAACGCGGCAGAAAGTGTGGGAATAGAGCCGATTTCATTGGCTGGGCAAAGCCCACAGCGGCTTGCGGGGCCCGTCGGGCCCACTAATTCAAAAACCCAAAAAAAAAATACCCTAAACCTACCCCTTTTCAGTTCTCCGCCCATTTGGTTTTCCCCTCCTCTCTCTCCCTTTCTCTCTCCCTTTCCTCCTCTCCCAAACGCAGACGAACGGCCGCGGTGCAGCAAACTCGGCGGCCACGAAGTCGGCGGCAGCGATCTCGGCGGCAGCGAAGTCGGCGGCAGAGATCTCGGCGGCCACGACGAAGCAGCAAACTCGGCGTTCTCGGCGGCGGCGACGAAGCAGCGAAGTCGGAGTTCTGAAGTTGTAGATCTCGGCGGCGGCGACCTTACAGCGAACTCGGCGGCGGCGACCTTGCAGTGAACTCGGCGGTGGCGATCTCGGCGGCAGCGATCTTGTCGGCGGCGACGAAACAGCGATCTCGGCGGCGGCGCTTTGCAGGGAACTCGGGTTCTTGATCAAGTAAGGTTTGAAGCATAGTTTTGTGGATATTAGTTTTCGATTGGACAGATTTGAGTTAGGGTTGCATGGTTGCGTTCTTCTGTGGATTTTTTTCTGGGTTTTGTGGAATGGCTTCTGTTTGTGTCGATATTTAGTTCTGTTTGTGTCGATATCAGTTCGGTTTGTGCCGATATTAGTTTTGTTCGTGTCGATATTAGTTCGGTTTGTGCCGATATTAGTTCTGTTTGTATTGATATCGGTTTTGTTCGAGCATGATATCAGTTTTCACTTTCCTGGATAGTTGTTTTATTGGCTCTGGGTATTTGTCTTTGCAGGTGATTTATCTATGGCAAAGACTAAAATGAGCGGGAAAAGAGCGCCACCGACTTCACCCCCTCCACCACCACCACCGCGACAGCGAGAGGAAGATGAGGAAGAAGAAAATGCTGAATCCGAAGCAGAAGGAGCTGCACAAGAAGATGATGAAGTCGAAGCAGAAACAACTGCACAAGGAGCAGCTCGAGGTCGGAAAAATCGGAGGTATAGATTTCAGACATTATATTATTTATTTTGCTTAGATTGTTTCTTTGATATATATATCTGGATATTGGTTTTGACAAGCATGATATCAGTTGTTACTTGCCTGGATAGTTGTTTTAAATATCTGGATATTTGTTTGACATACAGGGATATTTGTTTGATTTATCTGGATTTTTGTTTTGATTTATTTGGATATTTGTTTGATTTATCTGGATATTCGTTTGATTTATTTATTTTGCTTGGATTGTTTCTTTGATATCTGGATATTTGTTTGATTTATCTGGATATTGGATTTGACAAGCATGATATCAGTTGTTACTTGCCTGGATAGTTGTTTTAAATATCTGGATATTTGTTTGACATACCGGGATATTTGTTTGATTTATCTGGATATTTAATTGGCATATCTGGATATTTGTTTTGATTTATCTGGATATTCGTTTAATTTATCTAGATATTTGTTTGATATATCTATATATTTGTAGGATTGATTTACCCTTCTTCATTGGATATTTGTTCTCTATGTTTGGAAATTTGTTTGCTCTTTATTGTATGGATTATAGTTACCTTATATTAGTTTTGTGTGGCCGGGATATCAGTTGATTTATACGTGGATATTTATATATGCTCCAGGGATATTGGACAATGGCAAGAACAAAAACAACAACGAAGAAACCGTAAGAGAAGGATCATCCCAACCTCGTCGTGGCATGATCGAAACGTGGGGGGCTCGGAGGGCATGATAAAAAAGAGAATCGAAAATTTGCACAAGCAAAACAACATTTGAACTATTCCTTTTCCTTTTTTATGTGGTTATAATTTTTTAGATTTTAGATTATGGGATTGCCAAGTTGGAATGACAATAAATACTAGTTGTGTAATATGGTTGGCTAAGTGTGTGATGCTAGATGCTTAAATAAACAAAGGATCACATCGGAATAGTTACCAAAAGTGCCCCAATATCCGTACAACATAAAAAATATCCACATCACCCAGACTAATATTCGTTCCTACCATAAAAAATATCCGCACCACCTAGACTAATATTCGTTTCTACCATAATAAATATCCTCACCAACCCTAACAAATATCCAGCGGTTACAGACTAATATCCTGCTACACAGCCAAAATATCCACACTTCGCGAACTAATATCCTCCATTTACATAATCATATCTTATCACCACAGACAAAAATCGACCACCCTACATTGTGTTCAGAACCATTTCCACAATATTGCCTTCTAAACCCGAAACCCTAATCGCTAAACACTAAATTCTTAACCCTAAATCCTAATCGCTAAACCGTAAATTGGTGTAATATGGTGGGCTATGTGTGTGATGCTAGATGCTTAAATAAACAAAAGATCACATCGGAATAGTTATCAAAAGTACCCCAATATCCGTACAACATAAAAAAATATCCGCACCACCTAGACTAATATTCGTTCCTACCATAATAAATATCCTCACCAACATTAACTAATATCTACCTCTCACAGACTAATATCCTGCTACACAGCCAAAATATCCACACATCACGAACTAATATCCTCCAATCACACAATAATATCTTATCACCACAAACAAAAATCGACCACCCTACATTATGTTCAAAATCATTTCCACAATATTTCCTTCTAAACCCGAAACCAAAAACCTCGAACCCTATACCTGAAACCCTAATCGTAAACCCTAAACCCTCACTCTCCTACTATTATTGTTTCATGGGCCTTCGGCATATGGGCCCTCGGCGGGCAGCCCTAACTAAGGTTGCAAGCCTAATGTGTTATGACTTGATAGTGTGTTATTTTTGATGAAAGACACAATACCCTACATTGTGTTCAAAATCATTTCCACAATATTTCCTTCTAAACCCGAAACCAAAAACCTCGAACCCTATACCTGAAACCCTAATCGTAAACCCTAAACCCTCACTCTCCTACTATTATTGTTTCATGGGCCTTCGGCCTATGGGCCCTCAGCGGGCAGCCCTAACTAAGGTTGCAAGCCTTATGTGTTATGACTTGATAGTGTGTTATTTTTGATGGAAGACACAATATCCATTACATCACAAACTAATATCCATTGCATATAATATCAGTTCATGCAAAAATAAATATTCATACAATTCAGACTAAACTGTAAACCCAAACCCTAATACTAAATCGTAAACCAAAATCCAAACCCTAACACCAAACCCTAATATTGAAAAACAGATAAATATCTACACAAACAAACATAGATAAATATCACAAACTAATATCCAACCATTTAGCAATAAATATCCGCTATAGCCAAAAGAAATATTCATTGTAACCACAAGTAAGAAACAGAAAAAGAAAAAAAAAAGGTGTTGAGAGAGAGAAGAGTGGTGGACCCAGCACAACTTTCCCTTTCTTTCCCAATTCCGCCCAAATTATGGTTGGGCCATTAAATTCCAACCACTTTCTTTGAATTTCCACATTTTTATTTTTCTTTCCCCAAATAAATCACCCACTTGGGCCCCTTCTTTCCCTTTCTCCAGCCCTTGACATTTGGTCTCCACCAAGCCACTAAGCCGCCACCCATCAGCTCCTTCTCTTTTCTCGGCCGGGCTAAAAAACCCACAAAATCCCACTTAAATGAGCCCATCCCTTGCACCCGTTGGATCTCAGCTGGGCTTGCGTGGACAACATCCAGGCCGTGTCAGTATCTCCTAACAAAGACATCAGTTAGGAGACTAACTTTTTCGGAACTTGCAGCACCTTTTTTCTTCTTTTTCTGCTTACTGTGAATCAGTAAGAGATTTGAGACTTGGTCTCCTGAAGATTTCCTCCAACCAACCCAATATTGACAATCTTCCTCATCTGGGTATTCTCCAGTCGGTGTAAGGTTTCTTCTTCTGACGATTACCTTGTGCTCTGCCATCATCCTCTGCCTCAAGCTCTCGGAACCCATTGCTTTGGTGGTGAAAGAACCCAGTAGAGAGGAAAGAGTTGTGGCGCCTCCATTGTTGGCGAGTGACTTCATCCCGGTGGATTTGGTAACTGGCTTCCCGCTTCTCCTTTGTCGCCGGTTTTAATTTGACCGGTCCGATTTTTCAGTCTGGGCTTGAACAGGGGAGAAGGAGGTAAATGTTCTTCTTCGCTCTGGGTGAAGTCAACCGCTGGTGGTGGTATGAGATCCGGATCTCGTCGTCGCCTCTCCACCTTTTGATTTCTTCTCCTCGCTGCTCTGGCCGGAGGCTGGGTCGCGCGGTGGTCGACGAGGACTTCGCTGGTCTGGTTGAATGGGATTTGGGGGATTTTTGGGGAATGGAGGAGTGGTTTTCTGGGTAAGAGATCTTGGAACTGGAAGATGAGAATATGGGGATGTGGGGGATTTTTGGGCTGGCGATAGCAAGCGGCAGAATGGTTTGCCTTTTGGTATTGGAGATTTGTGGGGAAGATGGGAAAAGAACTGTGGAATGGTGGAGAAAAGGAGAGTGGGATTGGAAAACAAGGGTTGGTAGTGCTAGGATGGTGATTCAGCGGAGGATGGTTGGATATGGGGTTCTGATATATGGGATTGGATTTGGAAAAGCAGAGAATGAGATTTGTGAGATGTGGGTAGGGAACAGATACAATGTAGATTGGAGAAGAACTGTATTTTTTTTTTAGGGTTTATGATCCGAAAATTTCAGATCTTGGACATAGTCCTTATTTTTGTGGGTAGAAGGTTTTTAGGGTTCTCTTGGATCTAGAGGCTCTGATACCATAACAACAAAGTTGAGTTGGGGGAAAATGAAACCCTAAAGTCTTGGGTGTTTCTCATTCATCTTTGGGTTTAAATAGGCAAAAGCTTTGCACTACAAGACAACATGTGCAAGCTAGCATTTGGAGACTACCATGGTTGTCAAACCGGTTTCATGCCGGCCGGTTCAACCGGGTTCAACCGGTACCGGTCAGCAAACCGGTTGGAAAGGGGCCGGCATTTAACTGTGGTCAAATCCGGTCAATGCCGGTCAGATCCGGTCAAATCCGGAAATTCCGGCCGGTTAGACCATAAACCGGAATTTAATGTTACACACATTATATCCAAAAATAAACATCCTCCATAGGATTTGAACCAAGTACCTCATGTTCATTTTAGTTTAACTTACACACCAGTAGGCTACAAGCAATTTTGTTGTCTACATTAACCTTATATTTTATATATCTAATACTAAATTTTATACAAATCATTATAAACATTAATAAAATTCACTTTAATAAAATTTTATTTTTAAGCATCTAATTGTTTAGTATTAGTTACCAATTCTTAGCTATGAATTATTTTGTGTGACATAATTCTTCTATTTGCTTTTTCATGACTAATTTATTTGGAATTGAGGATTTCCATTTTCCTCATGTATTTTATTAAAACCGGCACAACCGGCATGAATACTGGTTGTACCACGGTCAGACCATTCCACTTACAAAACCGGCACACCGGCATAAACCGGTTTGACAACCTTGGAGACTACAAAGATAAAACATGAATTCAAACTAGAGTCTAAACACACATTTGACATTAAACTAAACTTGATGATGATGATTTCCTCTAAACCTTGTCGATCCACTTTGACATTCATGGTCGCCGGTTTGAGTTTTGACGATAACTTGAAATATCTCCTGATAAACAGTCCGGAAAAGAAGACGAAAACACCGGCCTCCCTTGCTAGACAACGACGACCAGCTACCTCTTCGTTAAGAGACGATCGACGACGACGATAACGACGGGACAATTTCCTCGATCAAACTCAGAACAAGCACTGGCGTCTCTACTCGATCAAACTCAGAACAAGCCACGACGACGGAAGCCAGCGACCGGCGACTGAAGAGAAACGACAGTGCCGGTCGGAATACGAACGAGCATGGGAGAAGAAGAGGCCGGCCGACTACTTTGCTTTGACGTAAGAATAAAAAACCCTAATTATTATGTAATTAAGATTTCAAATTATTTCAATTATTTAATGACCTAATTACCCTTAGCAACCGAATAACTAATAACTTTCCATTAACTAATTAATTCCTATAAGCCAATAGGAAAGCTTTAAGCATTTGCTTAAGCTCTTAGACTTAAGCACAGGAACTTAGGCCTTATCGTTTGATCTTCAACAATTTCTAAAAGTCTCTCCCATGTAGGATGTCAATGGATTGGGTCGAGGGTAAATATTTCATAGTCATTACTCTATTTAAAGTGGTTCGGTTTTTACTCATATATATTGTCATATAATAATTTCTTAAAAATGGAAGAATTAATCCCAACATAAACAAAAACATGGCTGCATTATTTTTAGTGATTACAACCAAAATGAAGAGTTAAAATTAAAATAAGTATTTCATGGACATTTTAGTAAACAAGTTAAATTAAATGAGGATGGAGAAACTATTTTCTAAAATTGGGGTTTTTTTCACTTGAAAACTTGTGTCAAAAGATTGAATATGTCACTAAATGTTCATATTGAATGATAAGTGTCATTTGTTCAATCATGTAAATCTTTTCTTAATCACTTTTTTATTTTTATAATATTTTTTCGAGACAAAATTTTCGTAAAATAATTTCATGGATCGATTGGTTGGGTAATGATTAAGTATCCATAAAAATATAAAATGAGACTACCCTTCTCATAAAAGTGTCTGCATGTATTGAATCAATCATAATTACGTCCAGAGCATTTGAATGCAAATTGACGCTTACATTAATGGTTGTCAAGCCTTTGTTAAACTAATTAGTTGATTAGGTTCGATTGAAGCTTTCTCCTACACGCCTGCCACTGGTGATGGCAATGGGGCGGGGCGGGTACCTCAATTTCCATGCTTCGCCCCACGCTACTACGATTCGGGACGGGTAAAACTCGCGCGGGTACGGGGCGGGGCGGGTCGACCCACTCTTACATGCTAAAAAAAATACAAGTAAATTTTACTTTTACAATAAAACGTAGGGAAAAACACTTTAAGAATGAAAAATATTGATAGTAGAATGGATAATTGAGCCTAACAAGTTGAAAAATCGACTCTAACTAGTTGAAGAAAAGTCAAAATAGGAGAAATATGCATAGATATTGTAAGAAATTGAGATAAAATGAGTCTAGAACGGGGCGAGGCGGGGAGGGCGGGTCGGAAGTAGATACCCATGCCCCGCCCCACGCTACTGCGGGTCAAGTAATACACGCCCCATCGCGGGTCAAGTCGGGTAATACCTGCGGGGCGGGTTGAAATTGCCATAACTACCTGCCACTAGGGCTGTCCGTTTGCTTTTCGTTTTGATTTTTCAATTTTAATCGAAACCAAATCGATAGAAATTTTAATTATTTTTTTTAAATCAATTGCATTTTAGTGGATTTAGTTAAGGTTTAAACCGAAAATCAATAAGCAACCAATAAAAAGTTGATAACACCCTAACTAAATCAATGCCTGTCAACAACACATGTTATCACCAATAAACATTTAATGTAAGAGAAAGAGAGGGGTTGAAGACGAGAGAGAGAATGGAGACGAGTGAGGTGTTATTTAACGTTATACTATCAAATATATCCATGGAAAAGAGAAAAAGAAGTAAAGAGAAAAACTGGGAGAGGAAAACCTCGAGGGAGACTGAATATATAAAATGGAAAGAGAGAAGGGATGAAGGGTTTTAGGTAGGGGTGGGCAACGGGACGGGACGGGATACCCGTCCCGTTTGAAACGGGTATCCATTCCTATTTGGAGAGCAATATCCATCCCATGTCCCAAACTCGTACGGGTTAACGGGTACCCATTACCCGTACGGGACGGATAACGGGTACCCATACTACCCGTAAATACCCGTCTAATTGGAAGTAGCAGCAGATCCACACAAAATGAAAATTTTACTATTATAGCCTTCTCAGCTGTTTCTCTTCTAGTGTCATTGTGATCTTGAATTAAATGTGTAGGAAATTTCACTATTGGATCTGCTGCATCTATCACTATATGTTTAATGTGGTCTCGTTACCACTCTGGCCACATTTCTAACAGTTAGTAGCATGAGACCACTCATTACCACTCTGACAATGTTGGAGAAGCTAGTTAACAGGGGATGGCCAGAAGCTCGGTTACTCCTTTATGGTTCCTGTCCTAATTCTTTTGAAGTTTCAAAGAGTGATGTTGATGTCTGCCTTGCAATTGAAGATGGTGATGCGAGAATAGCTTTCTCTTTGCGCACAACTATATAGAAATTTGATTTCCTAGGTCCTTAAGGTATATGCAAAGATTAACAAAATAGGAATGTGGTTAAATGGGTCAACCGTTATGGATTTGGAACCATAAAGAATCTGTTGCATAGGTTTAGTAGTGGTAGAGTTACGGTGGTACTGTTTGGGATTTTGGACTAATGGGTATAACGGGTACCCGTAATACCCAAACGGGTATTAACGGGTAACCCGCGGGTACCCAAAGTAACAATTCTTGATCTCAAGTCCCATCCCGTAAAAAAAAATTACGGGTATTTGGGTACCCATAACCCTCAAAAAAGGGGCGGGTATTGGTATACCCAAATACCCATTTCCCGTTGCCCACCCCTAGTTTTAGGTGATTGTGAACATGAGATAGGTTTTTGAAGTTTATTATAGGTTTAATACACTTGTATATCCAAAAGTATCACGGTTGTGCCAATAATATCCAACCGGAAATACCACTTATATCCAACTCCGTCACATTCTTTGACGGTGTTAACGTTAAGTCTGACTGGACAAACGGTGGTGCTTACGTGGCGAACGCTTATTTCCCAATTCCTCTTCACTTATCCACGTGTATTGCTAATTAATTTTATTTAAAAAATTAAACAAAAAAAATTTCAATTGCCCCCATCTGACCTCACCCTCGACTCGACCTAACTTTCTACCCTTCTCATTTTTTCCATCGACGAACCCCTAACCCTTCGCTTGCGGAGGGTGACGAAGGCGACGAAGGAGACGGATTTTGACGAAGGCGACGGAGAAGGACGAAGGCAGCGACCCCCCTAATCCGTCGTATCCCCTGATTTTCCTTCATCCTTCGTCGATCTACCCTTCTCGCCCACCTTCCTCGACGAAGACCAACACCGATTTCGGAGGCTTAAACAACTTGCGACGGGCTTAGGCTGGCTCCTCCCATCCTTCCTTTCTGCTGGAAACCCTAATCGCGATGAGCCCTGGAAACGCGAGCAGAAAATTCGAAGAAACCCTAATCGCACAGAAAAGGGGGATTTCTGATCAACCTCGTCTGTAGCCACAGGTGAGTCTCCCTTTTGAATTGGTAGTTGTGAGTGTTGATTTTGGTTGGAAAGTTCTTATAGTAGTGTCTTTCTCTTGATTTTTTGGTTGGTAGCGAGGAGTAAAGACAGAAGAAAAAGGAGACCACTCGACTGGATTCCACACCGATTTTGCACCTGAATCTGACGCTGAGTAGCTGAATCTTCTGGATAGAATTGTCATTACCTTTGGTTGCAAAAACCCTAGAATTGAATAATGTCAATCGTTGCTTTTTTTGAGTTGTTTGTTAGTTAATGATTAAAGAATTGTTAATGGGGATAATGGTGATTAAAAAACTGATTAAAGTTGTTATAGATGGCTGATTTATGGGATGAGGCTTTTGGAGAGAATGATTCAGATGCTGTTCAGGAGAGTCCATTTGCTTCCTTGACTGCACATGATGGTGTCGAGGCATCTGTTGCTCGAGAAATATACCATGTTTACGATTCAAAAGATGCAGACACTTCTGATGACGAGTACCATGAAGAAATGACAAATCTTAGAGCCTATGGGGAGAGTAAGAGAAGAAAGATGAAGGCACGTATTGATGACCATGGAGAGGAGGTTGAACAGCTTGATGTTTTGGAGGAGGACGAATCCTCTGGTGATGACTCTGAGGAGGAGGATGGATTGGCTGGGGATAATGGTCAGAATGGGGATAATGGTGTGAATGAAGATGTGAATGAAGGTAATGGTGTGAATGAAGATGTGAATGAACCGGCCGAGGTACCTCCAATGCAAGAAGCTAGGCGAGCAGACTCGAACCATTCGAGTTACAGGCTCTCTGAGGATTCCAACCATGTAAGAGCCAATCTTTATGATTCGGAAGGTGGGGACATCTTCGACGATGCACCGCAATACGATCCATATTGTAACCACAAGGTTCTCTAGTTCGTGCCGCGGATGAAGTTTGCAAGTCCTGAGGAATTTAAGGCAGCTGTGGTTCGCCACTCTGTAGTTGCTGGGGCCGGTTTGAGATGGGTTAGGGTTGAGAAATCAAGAAGAGAGGTCAAATGCAAGGACAAGAACTGCAAATGGAGGGTATATACTAGCTGGTTCAGGCGGAATCAGAGCTTCATGGTGAGGAAAACCGGGCTGCCACATTCTTGTGCAAGACAACTGCGGGTCAACCAAGTGAGTGCCCACTGGATTGCACAGGATATGCTCGAGAGATTCAGAATTAATCCCGAGTGGGCGCCAACTCAAATCATGGCGTACAATTAGCTTGCCGTCAGCGATGTTGACGGATTTATTAACGCCGTCAAAGTATTTAACGGAAGTGGATAGATTTGGTAAAGAACAACTTTAAAACATGGATATAAGTGGTATTTCTGAATTTTTGGATATTATTGGCACAACCGTGATACTTTTGGATATACAAGTGTA